AAACCATTTCTTTATCATTCATCAATAATTTAGCAAATTCATCAGCCGAGTTCTTTGGGATCGTCTTTCTAACAATTTTTTTTAATGTTAATTTTACGACATATAAGAATAAAAAAAAAATTAATCAGATAAACCATTGTATAAGCTCACATTTAAACTTTTAAAGAAACCTTAAAGCAAATTTAGAACACATATAGCCTATTCCGCCGATAAAGAAATTAACAACTATAAGAGATATCGTAGCGTTCAAACCATTGATTTTAGGTTCGGTTGTTAAACTAATGATTTCAATTGTAGCAGCCTGAGGTAGCAATTTTGAAATTGTTTGATTAAAGCTTGTGGTTCCATCATCATTTTCATTGGCATTGTTCTCAAAGGTCCTGCGGCTCCTAACTTTCCTAGTTTTTCTGTATCTCAAATATTGCATTGATTATAATTAGTTTATTTAATATTAACTAATTTTGCGAAAGTGGATTTGCTTTTTTTGCACATCGAGTTTCATTTAGAATTTCATAAAAGAAGTGAACATATTCATGTTATTCGATACTTGGAAATTTAATTTTTTCTTTGGATGTGCACAATACTGACATTTTAGTTGAATGGTTATGGTTGATCAATGAGGTCAATGGAATTGAGAAGAGCGTTGAAGAAAGAACAAACAAGTCGAATTCATGAGATTTGCTTCATGGTTAGGTTTATGTTGAATAGATTAAATGGAGATAATTATAAAATATAAAGTTATGCTTTCATTATTAAATTTGTCTTTTCAATAAAGTTTAATGTTAATTTATCATTATTATTTTTAGATTAAATAAAACGTCATCAGATGAACTTGTTTTACAAATAAAAAGTACGAACGTTGTTCTTTGATAAGTCTGGGATTTCCTCAATGTAAAAGTGAGATGTATCTAAAAAAAAAAAAAACGCCATCTCATGATCTCGTAATGTTTCGGGAACTAAGTGTGTACTTGTTTAGATGAAAAGGATTACGAAATTAAATTAATCAGATGAATTCATCCCGGCTTTATTTGTTTTGTCAAACACAGATTATGATTGTTCATTTTTTTGCGCAGTCTGAACAATGCAAGTCATTTAGCATCTCATTGAGATGATATCTCCAATAGAAATGTGGTTCCATTGGATTTTATTGTATTAACGTCATCGAGTTTCATTACACGCTTGAGAACCAAATAGTTATTAACTATATCGGTTGTATCCGACAATGTACTTATCTATATTTTTTTTTTCTTTTTCTCTCACTCTCTTTCTCACTCTCTTTCTCTCTCGCTCTTTTTTTTTTTAAAAAAAAAATAGGTGAATGATCGAATGATCAACTATCTTCACCATCACTAATAAACTCGGAAGTTAAAATTAAAGTTGATGCTTTAAATTCTAAAAATCAGGTAATCTACAGGTCAATTATAAAGTTAAAAGGTTATGTGCATCTTCTAATCAATGAAACGCATGAAACAGAGAGTTTAGATTTATATTATAGTATATTAAATGAACTAGAGGTAGCTTATTAATAAAGCAATGCAATTAGGCCGTTAAATGTTTGTGTAACATCAATCAAATAATCTAAAATTATATTTTATAGAAAATCTACGCTATCACTACTTTAATTAATATTTTAAGATTATATGGGTGGTATGCTATTAAAATTGAGATACAGATCATATGATTTACTATGTCTTGTACCTCAATTTTAATAGTATACCTACCATCCATATATTTATTAAATGTAATATTCTTAATAATTTATTTTAAATTTAAAATAATATTAATTACTTAGAAATAAATTTATATATATATTATAAATTAAATTTTTTTTTTTTTAATTAAAAGATATAGGAAAATTATATAATATATATCTTAATCAAAAAAAATTGATTATATAAATAATTATATATATATTATTTTAATAAAATATAGATTATATCTAATATTATATATTATTTGTTATCCTTTAAATTAATTTATTATTAATTGCTTTTTTTTTCTTTTAATATATTAAAGATGACACTGCAATTATCAAAAAATATTGCAATTATATTACAACTCATGTCATAATTAAATTTATTAATGCCGCAATTTGATTGTAACTCAAATAAAATTTAAAAACAATTATGAGAACCATCTTTATAATATATTATTTTAGTGATATATTTTATTTATCAAAATATTATAATATATAATATAATATTATTTTATTAATATATTAAATTTTTAGTAATACTATTAAGATTATTATATTAACTAACTTTTATTTTTATAAAATATTTTATTAAGAATAACAGATTTAAAATTTTATAAATCAAAAAAATTTGTTATGTATTAAAATAAAATTTACATGCTAAATAAATTGATATATTAAGATATTGAATATTAGCTAAGAGTAAAAATTTTATTATATTAATTAAATAAAAGAAAATTAAATCTTATTTCTTATAAATTATTTAGGTTATAAATAAATTTTGATATAATAAACTCTTATATTTTATTATAATAAATTAACCAATTAAATTTTTAAATAATCTTATAATAAAGTTGAGATCTAGATCCTAGGATTTTTATATTAAGAATTAATATATATTTATATTACTATTTTTTATAAAATCATTAAATATTTATATATTAATTATATAAAAATAACAATTTTAAAAAAAATAATTTAATTTGTATTAGTTATTTATATATATTAAAACAGTAATATTAGTAATTATTTTTAAAATTGATAATCAAAACTATATATTTAATTTTATAACATATTGATTATATTAAGATAATTTTAAAAATCTTAATAATTAATAATAATAAAGATAATTAATATAAAATTTAATTAATATAAAAATAAAAATATTTTAATAATTACATTTTTTTTAAAAACATATTGAGTAAATTATTATTTATCTTATTATAAAATTAAATTGAAAAATATTGAAAATGAAATTTCATAGCTTATTAAATAAATCAAAAAATATTTTTATAAATGATCTATTTTTTTTTACCTAATAGATTTTTTAATTTTAAAGTTTAAATTAATAATATTTTTTTGTATTATTTAAAGTATAGTTCTAATAAGTAAATGCTATTTAAAATAAAAAAATTTGTTAATATTAATAATGCTAATCAATTAATTATTAAATTAGCAAATAATTTTAAAATTTAAGAAAATTATATAAATTAAATATTTATAAATAAATATATATAAAATAGAAGGAAAATTAATTATTATATTTTAGCAAAAAAAGTTTAGTTTATCACTTTTTATTTATATATAAAATAGTTTTTTAAAAATAGTTTTAGAATTTTATTTACATTTAAAAAGCATCTAATATTTTATTAGATTTTATAAAAAGTTTTTTTAAATAAATAGATTTGTAATAGCTAAAGATGCCATTGCAACTAGGCATTACTAATTATAACTTACAATCATAACCCTATATTTTTTATATAGGTTATAACTGCAACTATTTTTGAAAATAAGTTGAAAAACCATTTTTAGTAATAACTAAATTTGTATTTTCTCTAATTATTTATTTTTGTAATAAATCATTCACTATCTAATATAAAAAATAAAATATGTTATATAATTTTATAATTTAATGAATTTTTTAATTTAATACAATAGAATTATCATATTAACTAAGGTTATAGTTGTAAAATATAATAAATGTCATTATTATTTTTCCTTTTTTATCAATTCAATAAAATTTAACTAAGACTAAGAATTTTTTTAAATTATTATTAATTTGGTATTAATAAGCAAAAGTAGATAAGAAGATTTTGACCTTTTATAACAATAATAGATTTATATCTATAAAACATTAATACTATATCACAAATTCAATCATTAAAATTGTAAAAGTTAAATAATGTAATCAATTATGCAAATATATGAAAATTATTTTAAGGGTAAACTAAAAAGAAAAAAACCTTATAGTTTAAAGTTTTAAAATATTTCATGTGTATATGTAATGTATAAATATATGAATTTCTAAACTTTCTTACATAAAAATAGAGTAATAATGAAAATGATCATTCTGAATGATAAGTTGCTAAAATAATTTATCATAATAAGATAAATGAAACCTAATCTCTTGGATACAATATGATAAAATATTTATGAATTATTTACTCTAAAACTGTAATACTCTAATAATAAGTATATAAAAATTTATAAATTAAAATTTATGATTATATATAAATTATTTAATTGATATATTTTATTCTGAGAATAATACATATGTAAGAAACAATTTAAACTTATTATGTTTAGGCTAAAAATGCTTTTTTAAATTTTAAATGAACTTACTTATTCAGTTGATTTAGTGTTCTACTTTAATTTAATATAATTATAATCTAAAAGCATAGATTTTTTCACATCTATTTATATATGTCTAAATATATAATAATAATCGATATAATAACATTAAATTCAATTGTTTTAATTGATTAATATACTAATAAAATATGTATTTGCATATAATTTTATGAATTTTTATATCTAATTTCAATAAATTATTATAACATCCTTTGTAATAAACTTCATATCACATCCTTTTCTCTTATCTTAAAGAGAAATCCACAAGATTTGAAGATTAGTTTAGAAAGGATTATTTTCTTAATAATTATTCAAATTTAAAATCTTTTATTTATCAGTTATTGACACTATTATATTTTTGCACTTTAATTGTAGATTTACCTTGAAGATACTTAAAAATCTATTTTGCAAATAAATGGAATAAGGTAAAATAAAATTATCAATATTCATTTTGCAAAGGATATTTGTGAATTTATAGTTAAAAACAATAATTAAATTATTTCAGATAAAATATAGAAAACTAACTACTTTTTTTTTTAAAAAAATATTAAAAAAAAAATTTTAAAAAATTAATTCTTATTTATATATTTTTTATTATTTATTAATTTTATTATTTATAAGAAATAAAAAATAAGTAATCAGAAAAATATTGTTTATTAATCTATCAAGTTTTTTAATATAAGTAAAAACTATTTCCTTTTAATCTTTAATCATTCAATAAATAATTTAGCAAATTCATTAGCAGATATTAATTGCATGAGTTCTTTTAGATTTTCTTCAATTGAATTTTTTTATGTTAATTTTATAATATATATAAATATAAAACATTTACTGTATATAAGCAGTTCACATTGTAAACTTTTAAAGAAACTTTAAAGCAAATTATCATTGATAAAGAAATTAAAGCATGTTATACCAAAATAATTTATATAAAGTCATAGATATATTAATTTTATGTGTATAAATAACTAATATTATTATTCTTAATAAGCAAAAGTGCTACTATGAATCCTGTAATTGTAATAGCTTTTCTTAAATGCCACAAATGACATGGTCTTAGCAACAATAATACAATATCTGAAATCTGCATATTTTAACGTATT